CTTCATGTGTTTGGGGGCTCTGTCTTCAGGTGGATATATGTTTATAATTCTTATAATTTAAAGATAGACTGACCCTTTTTATCAATATAAAGTATCACTCTTTCTCTAGTATCATTTTTATTTTAAAGTCTATTTTGTCTGATATAGGTATAGTTGCTCTAACTTTTGTATGGTTACTGTTTGCTCTGTGTGTGTGTGTGTGTGTGTGTGTGTGTGTGTGTAACTTCCAACCCTTTATTTTCAATCTTGTATTTGAATCTTCATTCAGCTTTTGAATCTGAATTATATCTCCTGTAGATAGCATAGAATAGAATTATGTTTTTTAATTCATTCTACCAATGCTTGCATTTTGAATGAAGGATTTAATTAATTAACTTCAGAATAATAGTGTACTGACAAGGAAGTGTTTATTTATGCCATGTTTCTATTTGTTTTATGAATGTTTTATAGCTTTTTTGTCTCTCATTTATTCCATTACCACCTTTTCTGTTTAGTTGATTTTTTTGTAGTCACATGTATTGATTCCCTTCTTATTTCCTTTTGTGTTTTTCTATATATATTATCTTTGTGATTACCATGGAGATTACATATAACATCCAAAAATTACAAGTCTTATTTGAATTGATGCCAAGATAACTTCAGTCACATACAAGAGCTCTACAATTAGGCAGCTCCATCTCCCCATCTTTATGTTTTGATGTCACAGATTATAGTTTTATACATTGTGTGTCCAATAACATAGATTTAAATTATTTTTATGGATTTGTCTTTTACATTATGTAGAAAACAAAAAGCAGACTTACTAATCAAAATTACAGTAATATTAGCTTTTATATATGCCCAAGTATTTACATTTGCTGGAGATCTTTATATCTTCATTCAAATTTAAGTTACTGTCTAGCATCCTTTGATTTGAACCTGAATGACTCTCTTTAGCATTTCTTTAGGGCAGGTCTAGTGGTAGTGAACTCCCTTGCTTTTGTTTATCTTTGAATGCTCTAATTTCTCCCACATTTTGAAGGACACTTCAAAATGCTGGATGTGGAATTCTTAGTTGACAAATTTTTCTTTCAAAGTTGTAAGTATATCATTCTACTGCCTTCTGGCTCCCAGGTTTTCTGATAAAAAGTCAGTTGATAGTTTCATTGAGCATCACTTGTACATGCCAAGTAGCTTTTTTTTTTTACCCCCCTCTGCTTTCAAGATTCTCCCTTCATCTTTTGACAGTTTGGTTATAATGTCTCTTAGAGTGGGTTTCCTTAGATTTTTTCCTGCTTGGAATTCCTTGGATTTCTTGTACTTGTAGATACATATCTTTCATCAAATTTGGGACGTTTTTGGCTCATTTTTTCAAATAATCTTTCTACTCATTTCTTCTTCTCTTCTCATTTTTGGACTCCCAAAATTCATATATTCTTATTCTTAATGGTATACTATAAGTCCCTTAAGCTCCCTTTACTTCTCTTCAGTCTTTTTTCTTTCTGTTTCTCAAAACATTTCCACTCTCCTATCTTAAGTTTACTGATTCTTTCTTCTGCCTACTCATATCTGCTGTTGAACCCCTCTGGTGAATTTTTCTCTTCAGTTATTGTATTTTTCAGCTCCAGAATTTGTTTGGTTCCCTTTCATAATTTCTATCCCTGTGTTGATATTATCATTTTGTTAGTGTATCATTCACCTGATTTCTTTTACTTTATTGTCCATCTTTCCCTTTAACTCTTTCAGCATATTTAAGACAGTTATTTTGAAGTCTTTTTCTACTAAGTCTAGTATCTGGACTTCCTCAAGGATGGTTTTTGCCAACTAATTTTGTTCTTTTGAATAATCCCTTTTTTCTTGTTTCTTTGTATGCCCTGTAATTTTTTAAATTGGGCATTTAGCTATTATGTGGGAATTCTGTAAATCAGATTATCCCCCCTTCCCTAGAATTTGTCATTTAAAAAAGGTGCTGAAGGCTGTAGTAGACCTTTTTTGAAATTTTCCAAAGTTTTTCTTCAAAGACCATTCCTTGTTGAAAATGATTACTGAAGTCTCTTTTCCTTTAGCTTATGTTCAGCTAATGTTTTGACAGAGATTTCCCTGAATGCTAGGAGCTGAAACAAACAAACAGAAATTAAAAAAAAAAATAGACCAGCTACCTCTCGTAGTCTTGGCAGATTGGCTCCATGTTGACGTATTTCTTAACCTCTTAGTGGGTCTTGTTCTTTGCCTGGAGATCAGCTTAAGATAATAGCTTAAGTTTGTTTCAGGACTTTTCTGAGTATGAATCTTGCCTGGGTATGCACATGGATTTCTAAATTCCCCCATATATGTAACTACTTTTGAGTATTTTAATTTCCAAAAAATGGTCTCACCCCAGCTTCTCTTTCAGGACTTAAATAGTCTATTGTATGACTCCATGCGTAATCTCTTTCCCCAGGTGTCTGTGAGTTTGTAGTTTACCTTGTAGCTTTCATCACCAGTGCCCATCACTTTTCCGATCTGCACTTGGAGTTACACAAAACAGATATTTGCCCTTCTCAGTCCTTTAGGTATCCTCCAGACAGGTTAGGACAGTTAAACCTAATAACTTGCAAGTGAAGTCTGCTGTGCTCCCTTTGGTTCAAGGGATGCAGCTAGGAACTGAGCTGCAAACTGTGCATGCCTAAGTTTGATGCTATGGGAGGGAGAGGGTGGGGCAAGGATGAGTTAGAACACTGCAAAACTTTCCCAATGTTTTGAAGATGGCGTTTTCCTGATTTGGTATTTACTCAGTTGCTGTAAACCTTTGAGCATTTCCCAGAGCTCTTACAAGGTTGATTCAGACAGCTACTTACTGGGTTTTTTTTTTTTTATGTTTCAGTGGGGGAATGAGAACTTGGAGCTTCCTAGACTACCAGTTTGCTGACATCACTCTTGATTTTATAATTAAAACTTTTTATTTGAGATAATTATAAATTCACACGCAGTGATAGGAAATAATAATCCCCTCTACCCTTTACTCAATTTCCCCCAATGGTAGCATCTTGCAAAACTAAAGTACAACACCACATTCAGGATATTGACATTGATGCAGTCAAGATACAGAACACTTCCATCATCAGGAGGATCCCTCAGGTTGCTCTTTTATACCCACACCCACTATTCCTTAACTCCTGCAATTACTAATCTGTTATCTATTTCTAAAATATTGTCAAGAATGAAATATAAATGGAATCATACAGTATGTCACCTTTTAGGATTTTTTTTTCTTTCCTTGGCATAGTTCTCTGGAAAATCTTCCAGGTTGTTGCAGGTATCAATCATTTGTACCTATTCATTACTGAATACTGTACCATTGTATGGATGTACCATGGTTTGCTTTACCATTCTCCCACTGAAGAGCATCTTAACTTATTTTTTAATTGAAGTATAATCAATTTACAGTGTTGCATCAATTTCTGGTGTACAGCATAATATTTCGATCATACATGTACATACATATATTCCTTTTCATGTTCCTTTTCATTATAGGTTACTACAAGATATTGAATATAATTCCCTGCACTGTACAGTAGAAACTTCTTATTTATCTATTTTATACGTAGTAATTAGTACCTGCAGATCTTGAACTTCCAATTCATCCCTTCCCATCATCTTCCCCCCAGTAACTGTAAGTTTGTTTTTTATGTCTGTGAGTCTGTTTTGTAAATAAGTTCATTTGTGTCTTTTTTTAAAAGATTCTGCATATAAGTGATATCATATGGTATTTTTCTTTTTCTTTCTGGCTTACTCCACTTAGTGTGACAATCTCCAGGTCCATCCATGTTGCTGCAAATGGTATTATTTTATTCTTTTTTATGGCTGAGTAGTATTCCATTGTATAAATATACCAAACTTCTTTATCCATTCATCTGTTGATAGACATTTAGGTTGTTTCCATGTCTTGACTATTGTAAATAGTGCTGCTATGAACATTGAGGTGCATGTATCTTTTCAAATTAGAGTTGAAGAGCATCTTGATTGTTTTCAGTGTTTTGGATATTATAAATAATGTTGCTGTCAACATTTGTGTAAAGGTTTTTTTGTAAACATAAGTTTTCAATTCTCTGGAATAAATGACAAGAAGTGCAATTTTAAGTCTTTTTTTTTCCCAAAAAGTATCTGCCAAACTGTTTTCCAGAATGGCTGTAGTATTTTACATTCTCATCAGCCAAGTATAAGTAATCTAATTTCTCTGCATTCTTGTTATGATTTTTTTACTTTAGCCATTCTGGTAGATGTGTAATGATATCTCATTATAGTTTTAATTTGCATTTCCCCAAATGCTCTTGGTGTTGCAAATATTTTAATGTGTTTCTTTGCCATATGTATATCTTCTTTGGTGAAATGTTTCTTCATGTCTTTTGCCCATGATTGATTTTTTACTGTTGAGTTTTGATTGTCTACTGTATACTTTTAGATCTTTGCCAGTTATATGCTTTTAAACAATATCTCCAAAATTTGAAGTTTTTCTTTTTATACTCTGAATATGGTATATCACAGAATAAAATTTCTTCAATTTTGATAAAGTCCAATTTGTCAATTATTTCTTTTACAGATTGTGCTTTTGGTGTCAAATCTAAGAACTCTTTGCCTATCCTTTGATTCTGAAGATTTTTCCCTATATTTTTTCTAAAAGTTTTAGAGTTTTGTGTTTTACTTTCAGGTTTGTGATCCACTTTGAATTAATTTTAGTATGAGGTGAGACTTAGGTTTTTTGTTTTTGTTTTGCCTAACATAGTCCAATAGCTCTAACACTATTTGTTGGAAAAGCCATCTTTCCTGCATTTAATTGCTTTTGCACCTTTGTCAAAATTCAGTCAGTTCAGCATGTTTGCATGGGTCTATTTTTGGATTATCCACTTTGTTCCATTGATCTACCTGTCTGTTTATCTACCAGTAACACAGTCTTTATTTCTTAAGCTGTATAATAAATCTTAAAATAGGATACACTGATTCCTTGTACTTTTTTCTTGTTTTTTAAAAAATTGCTTGAGGTGTTCAAGTTCCTTTGGCATTTCATATAATCTTGTCTAGATCTACAGAAAGTCTTGGGATTTGGGGAGGAATTGTGTTAAATCTGTATGTTAATTCAGGGAAACTTGACATTTCCCCATACTATGTAGAATCATCCAGTTCATGAAAACAGTATGTCTCTCTATTTATTTAGAAATTCTTCCACTTCTTTCATCAGTGCTATGTAGTTTTCAGAATGTGGAATACATTTACACCAAAGTATCTTTTTTGAGCTAGTGCAAATGGTATTGTATTTTAAATTTATTTTTCATACATATATTTTCATTGTTAGTATATGGAGATACATTCATTTTTGTTTGTTTATCTTGTTTTCTGTGACATTGCTGAACTCAGTTTTCTAAGAATTTTTTTTAATTCCATGGGATTTTATTGTATGAAATTGTGTTATCTGTAAATCAGAACAGTTTTATTTCTTTCTTTCTCATCTGTATGTCTCATACTTCCTTTTCTTGTTTTATTGCACACAGTAGAACTTCCTGCACTATGCTAAATAAGTAATGAGATGAGACCTCTTTGCCTTATTCCCAAGCTGAGGTTGAAAGCATTAAATTATTCACAACTAAGTATAATGTTATCTGTACATTTGTCATGGATGCTCTTCATCAAGTTGAGAACAATCTTGTGGTTCTTGAGGAGAAGTCAGATGCAATTTTTGTCTTTGTTCCTCTATAGGTAAGGTATTTTTCTGCCTGTCATGTCTTTCAGGATTTTTAAAAAATCTTTGATTACCTGTAGTTTGAAACCGATATGCCTAGGTGTAGATTTTTTGATATTTATCTTGCTAGTTGTTACCTGAGCTTCCTGGATCTGTGATTTGGTGTCTGAAATTAATTTGGAGGAAATTCTCAGTCATTATTAGTTAAAATACTTCTTCTGTCCCTTTCTCTCTTTCTTCCTCTGGTATTTCCATTATGCGTATGTTATACCTTTTTAAAGTTGTCCCACAGTCCATGGATAGTCTGTTGTGTTTTCAATTTTTGGACTCTTTGCTTTTTGGTTTTTGATGATTCTATTGATATATCCTTTAGCTCCAAGGTTCTTTCCTCATCCATGTACAGTCCACTAATGTACCCATGAAAGGCCTCCTTCATTTCTTTTACAGTGGGTTTTTTTTCAATCTCTAGTATTTCTTTCTGGCTCTTTCTTAGGATTTCCATCTCTCTGTTTACATTGTCCATCTCTTCTGTTCTTACATGCTGTCTTCTTTATCCATTAGAGCCATTAGCATGTTAATCATAGTTGTTTTTAATTCCCAGTCTTATAATTTCAACATCTCTGTCATGTCTGGTTCTGATGTCTGCTCTGTATCTTCAAATTGTGGGGGTTTTTTTTGCCTTTTGATATGCCTCATTGATAGCTGGACATGATGTACTAGGTAGAAGGAACTGCTATAGATAGGCTAGTAATAATGTGGTGGTGAGGTGTTCAGGGAAGGGAAGCATTCTATAGTCCTATGATTAGGTCTCAGTCTTAGTGAGCCTATGCTTTTGGACTATGAACAAGTGGTTCTCACTACAACATCACCCCCCTGACTCCCTCACTCTTTATCCAGGTCAGACAGGATGGCTAGAATACCCTGGAGCTGGGTATTTTTTTTCCCTCATGGAGAGCTAGAGCCTGCTGGAGTTGGGTATTTCCCTTCCTTCACATCAGTTAGGCTCTGGTAATAACCCAACAGCTAGTCTTTCATTAATTACTTTCCCCTGAGGGAAGGCCCTTCTAAGAACAGAGTACTCTGGGTATTTCAAAATGGTACCTTTTCCCCTTCCACTGCCAGAAGCATAAGAGGATTTTTCTCTGATATTTACTGTGGGAATCTAGTCAAGCTCCTGGAGGTAAATATCAAAATACTTTGCTGCCCCCTGCCCATGACTGCTTCCCCCTGGAGTTCTCAACTCTCCGATTTGCCCACGTTGAGTCTCCAGCAGCTTGTCAGTTACAATTAAGATATTCCTACTCCAGCTCTGGTTCCCACAGTGGCTTCTCTTGAATCTTTGTGCCAATAATCTCTGACTCTCTGTATTTCCCTGTCTGTCTCTTTAATCTTGGGGGTAGTGGTTTGCCCTGTGTCTTCCCCTCTCATACACATCCAAGATGAGTTGTTGATTTTTACTGACTGTTCAGCTTTTTACTTGATATTAGGATAGAGTGTTGGTTTAGAAGTTTCTTACATTTGGGAGTAGAAACTGGAAGTTCTTGACGGTGTCTTTTGACAATTTCAACTTTTATGAAGTCTAATTTGTCTATTTTTTCTTTTGTTGCCTGTATGATGCCTTTGGTATCATATCTAAGAAATCATCACCAAACCCACTGTCATGAAGTTTTATCCTGTCTTCTAAGAATTTTACAGTTTTAGGTCTTATATTTTGGTCATGGACCCATTTGAGTTAATTTTTGTATGTGGTGTTATGTAAGAGTATAACTTCATTCTTTTGCATGTGGATATCCTGTTTTCCCAGCACCATTTGTTGAAAAGACTCATTCCTCCCATTGAATGATCTTGTCAATTTTGCTGAAAATCATTTGACTATATATGTAAGGATTTATTTCTAGACTCTCTATTCTATTTCATTGGTCTATATGTCTGTCTTTACGACAGTACCACTGTTTTGATTACTATAGGTTTGTAGTAAGTTTTCAAATCAGGAAGTTGTAAGTCTTCCAGATTTGTTCTTCTTTTTTCAGAATTGTTTTTGCTATTTAGGGTCCCTTTGAGATTCCAGATGAATTTGAGGATTGGGTTTTCTATTTCTGAAAAAAAATCAATGGGGATTTTAATAAGCAATATATTAAATCTGTAGATCCCTTTGGGTAGTAATGATATCTTAACAATAATATTCTTACAACATATGAACATGAGGTGTCTTTCCATTCATTTAAGTATCCTTTAATTTCCTTCAGAAATGTTTTTGTTGTTGTCATTATATAAATCTTTCACCTTGATTAAGTTAATTCCTAAATGTACTTTTATGATATTATAACTGGAATTGTTTTCCTAATTTCCTATTCAGATTGTTCAACATTTTTAGTGTATAGTAATACAACTGATTTTTGTGTGTGTTGACTTAGTATCCTGATACTTTGGTGTATTTATTTATTAATTTTAAGGGTTTTTTTATGTAATCTTTTGGGTTTTCTACATATGAGATCATGTCATCTGTAAACAGAGTACTTTTTTCTTCTCAGTTTGGATGCCTTTATTTATTTATTCTTGCCTAATTGTTCTGGCTAAAATGTCCAGTTCTTTGTTGAGTAGAAGCGGTGAAAGCAGGCATCCTTGCCTTGTTCCTAACCTTAGAGGATATACTTCAATTTTCATCATTGAGTGTGAGGTTAACAGGGAGGTTTTATGTATAGATTTTTATTATATTGAAGTAATTTCCCTCTGTTCCTAGGATTTTTATCATGAAAGGGTGCTGAATTTTGTCAAATGCTTTTTCTGTATCTTTTGAGATGATCATGGTTTTTTTCCCCTTCCCTTCATTCTG